GGTGGCATAGCTTCCCCGCTGCTGGAGGCGATTTTAGTCCCGTTTAGCTGGACTGTGCAGCTGATGGCTACAGGTGAATTCGTTTTCACTTCTTATAACGTTAAGTGTGCATGGGATCTGTGCCGGGGGGGTAGTGGTTTGTTTAACGCAAGAAAAAAGGATGGGAGGGGAGTGACTTATTTGATTGCTTATTTCAGTAACGTACTGTAAAATTGCTGAGACAGTGTGAACGATTTCTTTTTCTTTCTCTCCCCCTGCTCCTGTTTTCTTTTTGCCTCCTCTCTCTCCCTTCTCCGCAGGCCACCTCTGTATAGGGCTGGGTAAACTTGAAGAACTCTGTCTTTTTCAGTTGAAATCTTCATTTGTATTGCAGCGCAGCAAACATGCCTGAACAAAGCAATGATTACAGGGTGGTTGTGTTTGGAGCAGCAGGGGTTGGCAAAAGCTCTTTGGTCCTTCGTTTTGTAAGGGGAACTTTCAGGGAAACCTATATCCCCACAATCGAAGATACGTACCGGCAGGTAATCAGCTGCGATAAGAGCATCTGCACCCTTCAGATCACAGATACCACGGGAAGCCATCAGTTCCCTGCCATGCAGAGGCTGTCTATATCCAAAGGGCATGCTTTCATCTTGGTGTACTCTGTCACCAGCAGGCAGTCCATGGAAGATCTTCAGCCCATCTTTGAACAGATTTGTCAGATTAAAGGGGACATCCAAAAAATCCCAATAATGTTGGTGGGTAACAAAAGTGACGAGACCCAAAGGGAGCTGGATGCCAGCGAGGGGCAAGCGTTAGCCAGCAAGTGGAAGTGCTCCTTTATGGAGACATCAGCCAAAATGAACTACAACGTGCAGGAGCTCTTCCAGGAGCTCTTGAATCTGGAGAAGAGGAGAACAGTCAGTCTCCAGGTGGACGGAAAGAAGTCCAAGCAGCAGAAAAAGAAAGATAAACTGCAAGGCAAGTGCTCTGTTATGTGATTGACTTTGGCTGGACTTGCACCGCTGCATGGTGTAATCAGTGCATGGACTCCCACAGAAAATACATTTCTGCTGGAGGTTTCAGACAAATCCATGCCTTATAGGGCTATTGCTTTTCTCTAAAATCTCCACTGGATTATTTTATGTGTGGGTTTTAAAGAGGATGGCTTTCTGCATGTTTATTTTTTAAAAACAATAAATGTTTAATGTTAGCAGTTACATGTGACTAGAAGTTTTTAATTCAAGAAGTTTACAGAAGAGAAAAATGTCAGTGAGAAAAACATCTCTATTCCTGTGAGTACATGCTAGTTTTTAAGTATATCCAGCCTATTAGCTTGAAAGAAATCATAGTATCTATAATGTGTATACTTAATTGTTTTCAGGAATCTATTGACCAGAGCAAAGCTTTAACAGAGCTAGGCATTTGCACCGCAAATGAACATGTATGTGGCTCCAGATGCTTATGTTTTTGGCAGATAGACTGGCTTGCCTACCAAAGATGTGTTGGGTTTGGTTTTTTTTCCCCATGGTAGAAGTTAAGTTTTCCAGTGTGCTATGCAATTCCTGAGATTTGTGCAGCTCTGAGTGCTTACAGCTATACCCGCACATAATTGGGCTGTTGGCTCACCCCCCCTTTACCCTGACTTCCCCTGTTCGCTGGGGTAGGAGGTTCCACATCCTCTAGCTCCAAATCCAGGGGTGGTTCTCGGTGTCCTTAAGTCAGAGCTGCCTCCTTCATGAAGGAAATCACCTGGTTGTAAGTACCAGCTGAGAAAGGAAAGGTGAGTTGCCAAGATAACCACCTACTTTCTCAGCTGTTAGTCTGGGTTTGCATGTGGCTGAAGCTGCTTTTGCAATCTTCCTGGTTCCCTTAGACATTTTTTTTTTTCCCCCCTCTCTCATTTCATCCAAGTTACTCAGGTTTTAGTTGAGACTCCTGACAAGTTGGTTCAGCTAACACTGCTTCGGGAAGAAACATCTATACCTGGAAGCTGCATGTTTAAAGCAAACTCTTCTCTGACAGAAACTTGCAGCAGACACTTCCCACAAATGAAAGGACTGGAGACATGGGCTTAGTCTACCTCTCGTCTCCCCCTTGTTTTGGCTGTTGTTACATGAGACAAGCATGATGAGCCTCATCTGCAGCGCATGGTTGAGAGAGATTTCAAGAAACTAAGTGCGAGTATTCGCTGTCAGCCTGCGCTGTAGATCCCCTACTTTGTGTGTGTATTGGTCCAGGCAGAAGACTCTAAGGACTTGAGTATTGCACTGTAGATGGGATTTTTACACAGCAACATAGTCTTGACGCAAGAGACATGGCAGAGAGGAATTGCTTCTTTTTATAGCACTCTTCTAGTGAAATGATTTTATTGATGAACAAAATATGGAACAGGAGGTGCTGCAAAGTACATACCCTTTCTTAGTTTGAGAGCATTAGTGTCTATTGATAGCTGCTGCTTTTCTACGTAAGACGCTAGAGAAGGGCCTTTTCTCTCCACCATTACTTGTTCATGTGTGGCAGACTAATACACAAACCCGTGAGGTTTGTACCCACGTTAATCTCTCACATGTTTGAACATCTCTTACAATCAGCGCTGGCTCCTGATGCTCCGCTGTCTCTGTCCATGAGCTGCTGTCCCAGTCCCCTCAGGCTGTTCCTATGCAGGCATGAGGGGTCCGTTAGCTCTGTGTGTGCCGGGGAGTTTGTCCCGGTTCCAGCTGGAGCCCTCACGCCATTTGATTCCGCAGAAAATCTTATTGATGATTCCAGAAACCCGAGCAAGTTCCGCATGAGTGTTCGGTGCTGGCTGAAATGTTACACTTGTCAAAATAACGTGCCGCTGTGCCAAGCTGATGCAGAGGCTCTGCACCTGATTTTTCTTACTGGAGATGATGTCCCGCACGCTCCCTGTGCTGGGGCTGCGGTGTTGGCTGGCGTAGTCCTCTGTGCCACTG